TGTGCCAGGCATGTATGCGCTGGCTGCAGCCTCTGGGTCTGCTCTGGTTAGCTGCATGCTGGGAGGAGAGTATGTGTGGTTGCTCTGGGTGGTGCCATTCTCCAGCTCCTCCACTGCTGTTGGGGAGGGAACAAATGGCAGGCTGCTTATCACTGTGAGGGTCTTCAAAGCTGCATTGCCATCCATGGGGTTTGGGCACCTGATGTTCCTTAGGATTCCCAGGCTGCTGGGCTGAGTGCCGGGATGATTCCGTTCAGCTGTTAAGCCCTTGTCCCTTTAAGATTTTCAAAAACCATCTGCTTTTCTTTTGTCCCAGGGGAGCTGGCTGCGGGGACCCTCTTGGAGATTTACCTTTTCCGTTTCTCTAATATCCAGTACACCATGCAATGTGTGTCTGTGTTCCCAGTGCAGATTACTAGGGCAGATTACTGGGGCTGGTTATTTAGCAGTTCTGTGCTTCCAGTCCCTCACCACTCTGATTCTTTTCATGTCAGTGGAGAGCTCGGGTTGGGGGAGTGCTCTGTTCCCGCCGGGTTGCAGTTTTGTATCTTACCCTTTTCTGTGAGATGCTGAGTTCTTGCAGATGTAGATGTAGCCTGACTGTTGTACTGTATATTCTGGTCTCTCTTTAGGTGTAGTTGTATTTGTTGTATTTTCAAAAATATATATGGTTTTGGGAGGAGATTGCTGCTGCCCTGCTCACGCCGCCATCTTGAGCCTCCCTTCCCCCAGTGGTTTCTTGATTGGTTGTGAAATGTGTCACAAACAGTTTGTTTCAGTATTAAATACCAGTGTTTTTTTGTTTTGAAACAGAGTTAGACTTCTGTATTCTGCCATGGAGAATTGCATTTTATTATATTTAATTTTTTTCTTCATTTAATTACTAATTTGTTTTAGTTTTTTAAAAACAATGTCATACGTTCTAGAAACTTAAAGGGAAAAATGGTTCTATAGTATTTGTTATAAAAAATATTTCTCAAACCTGGTTTCCCATTCTTTGAAAGCAAATATTTTTACCTCTTTCAGCTGATTTTCTTCATATGTTCATTTCACGTCTTCCAATAACATACTTATATTGTTACTTCTTGATTTTTTTTTATGTTTTACGAATTATCTTTATATTTCACTGTGAAGGTGAGGATTCAGTGTTCTTTCACCACTTATATCCTGCCTCCTCCACACACACACACTCACACACACACACACACACACACACACACACACACACTCACACTCCTCCAACTTCTTAATGTGGTTATATTATACTGTAATTTTGTTAAGATTAAAATTAATTGTGCACGTCATTATTTAAATGACATTTATATCTGAGCAATGGAGATGATAAATTGTGTTTCCCTATACAACTTTTTGTTTTCTTTGGTACTCATAATTGTTTTTTTTTTAATTGAAGCATAATTTACATATCATGTAATCTGCACCCCTGCTAAGATGTAGAATGTTCCCTTCATTGCAGAAAGCTCACTTGTAGTTTTTCTCAGTTAGTCCCTCTTAACTGCAGGCATAGTTAAAAAAATTTTTTATTTATTAGTAATCAATATTGTTATAATTAATTCTTCTCTAAACCTTTTTCTAATCTCTCAAGACATTCAGATACATCAGCTAGGAATTTATTTCATTTTCTGAGAGAAGATAACATAGGAGAAAACCTAAATGACCTTGGGTATGGTGATGACTTCTTAGATATGACCCAAGGACATGATCTACAGTTTTGTAGTTTAATAGTTGTGTTTTTTCATTTATGTCTGTGATTCACTTAAGTTAATTTTTATGTAGAATGTATGTCTGTGCCTAGATTTTTTTTTTCCCCCATATAGGTATCCAATTGTTCCAGCACCATGTGTTTATCTTTGGCAGAAGAGACTGTATTGCCTTTTTTCCTTTATGAATGATCACTTTACTGTATTTATGAGAGTGTATTTCTGGGGACTCTGTTCTATTCCACTGATGTATTTGTCTGTTCTTTGGCTAATACCACACTGTCTTGATTACTGTAGCTTTACTGTTAGACTTGTAGTTTGGTAGTATCAGTCCTCCAGCTGTGTTCTTCTCCTTTATATTGGGTTGGCTCTTCTGGATCTTACCTCACCGTATAATCTTTAGAATCATTTTGTTGATATCCATAAAATAACTTGCTGGGATTTTGACTGGAATTATATTGAATCTGTAGATGAAGTTAGGAAGAACTGACATCTTGAGAATATTGAGTCTTCCATGAATATGGAGTATCTCTCCATTTATTTAGTTCTTTTATTTTGTTCATCAGAATTTTGTAGTTTTCCTCATCTAGATCTTGTACATATTTTGTTAGATTTGTATTTAAATATTTAAATTTTGGAGGTGATAAATGATGTTTTTAGTTTTAAATTCCTCTTGTTTATTGATAGTATTTAAGAAAGCAGTAGATACTTGTGTGTTAATCTTGTATCCTACAACCTGGCTATAATTGCTTATATTGGTTCCAGGAGTTTTTTAGTCCATCCTTTTGGATTTTCTACATAGATAATATCTTTGAACAAAGGCAATTTTATGTCTTTTTCTTGATATGTAAACTTTTTATTTCATTTTGTTGCTTTATTGCATTAGCAACGGTGTCCAGTACGATGTTGCAAAGGAGTGGTGAAAAGGGACATCCTTATGTTGTACCTGATTTTAGTGGAAAAGCTTTGAGGTTCTCACCATTAAGTGTATGTTAGCTGTAATTTTTTGGTATGTTTTTATCAAGTTGAGAATATTCCCTTTTATTCCTAGCTTACTGAGTTTCCTTTTTTAAATCATGAATGGGTGTTACATTTTGTTAAATGCTTTCTATGCATCTATTAATATGATTAGACTATTGATTTGATTCTCTTACATATAGCATATAAGCCTGGCTACCAACATTATGAATGCTGATTAAGGGAAGATGGCCTGGGTTTCCAGCATTCAGCATGTAACTATTTGCATAAAACTTACGTGTTTTAGTACTTTGCCCCACCCTAAACTGTTGCTGTTTTTTTTCTTTTTAACTGTTGCTTGTTTTTATAGCCTTGGGACTCTTTAACCTTTGCAGACAGTAAACTTTGAGGTTTCTGCTACTATGAGTGGGGGAAGCAGTAGCTCAGCTGTACAGAGTAGCATAATCCAAAGATCTAAATGCTTTTTAAAGAGACTCTCAACCAGTGCTTCTGTGTTTAGCTCCCATTCCTGCATTATCCCCTTGTCTGGAGGTATCTAGTCATGAATTCTGAGCCTTTTTGGTTACTTTGGTGAAAGGTTTGCTTCTAGGTACTCCTCACAGCTCACTAGGTCTGCTTTATAGCTTCCTGTATATGTGAGCATGTGTGTGTTTTCTGTTTTGCTAGTTCTAATGATCTTTGTGGCGTGAGGCTTTAATGAAAATAGCAACTTCTGTTTTAGTAAGATGTAAGGTGGTAATGGAAAGAAATGCAGCCCAACCTTCAATTAAAAATATTCTTACAAGGATACACCTTCCACCCAAAAGTTTTACTGAGGTATTATTGTTTGTACCACAAATAAATATACAAGGATATATACTCTTTAAGGCTCACAACACTGAAATATAGTACTCTTTTTCCTTATTTGCCTGCTTCCAGTTCTTCTAATAAATTTTTTTACTTTAGCTTTCCTATTTTTCAATAGCATTCTCCTCTTGATTTTTAGGTTTAAAGAATTCTTTAACATCTCTAATTGAAGTTTTTTCCCCCAATGTTTTTTTTCTCTCCATTTGTTTCTTTTGCAATCACTTCTTTCTTTCTTGTTATTTTATTTTGTCTCTCATTTTTTTTTTTTTGTATTTGAAGTCTTCCTCAAATCTCTGATCCCTAGTTGTACATTCATAGCTGAATAAGATATTAAAAAGCAGACTGATTGGTAGCTCTCTGTCTGGATAGGACTTGGTGACTGATTTTTCATTTCGATAGCATGTGTGGAGGTGGGGTCTCCAAATGCTGTCATGGAGGAATCTGTTCTCTGTTGGTTATTCAGTTGTTTAAGGAAGGAGATCTCCTTTTTTGTTGTAGGAACTAGGTCCATGGCAGCTAACGCTCCATCCTTGAGTTCGAGGAGTGGACCCAGAGTGTAGCCATTGCACATTACACTTACACCTGGGGTCCGTCTAGTTAGCCCTCTGATGTGCTTGCATACGTGGGCTTTGAATTTGTATGGGGTTCCCAGGTTTCATCATCATCTTCTCTGTAAAGTCACTTAGACCTCCTTTCTGCTTTCTCTCTTTCAAAAATGTGTTGCTTTTTCTCATTTTCTGAAGTTAGCTCTCCCTTTTTCTTTGTCCTCATATCTTTTTACATTTCACATTATTTTGCTGTCTTTTCAGTATAGTCTCAGGAGGACTAGGATAAAAACACATGGTCAGGCTACCATCTTTAATGGTCTTATGGATGGGAGTGAATGGGGTGGGATGAAGGAATTGCATTTCAGCATGTTCATGGGGAAGTTACATGTAATAGTTGTTTTCAGCCATTTTGCTAATTATAATGTAATAGTTGTTTTCAGCCATTTTGCTAATTATGTACCCTTCATGATAGTTTGCTTACAGTTGGTATTAGGTATATTTGTTGAATTTATATGGTAGACAATATCTCTTCTAAAAGTTTTCCATTCACCTTATTGCTTTTCCATTGAAACACAGGTTCTGAGATTTTATAATTCAAATATAAGTAAATATGCAAAACTAATTTAACTTACTTTTCTCTCTCCCCTCCCTTCCTTTTTTTCAACTTTGCATATTGGCTAAGCAGTTCTTTCATAGCTTTTTGAACAATAGAACCTTCATCTATTTTGAAAAAAATAACCTCCCTCCCCTCTTTGAATTATGGAAAAGATTCTGGTGATCTGTAGTAGGATATACGGAACACCAACCTAAATTATTTTCTTAGAATCATACAGTGTGCTACAGTAAAATCTGCACTCTTATGTATATACTGGCTTTTTCTAATTTGTGTTACTCCTTTCTTTTTATTTAGGTAAACGGGCAATGTGCTGGCCACACAGCTATGCAAGCTGCTAGCCAGAATGGACATGTTGACATTTTGAAGTTACTTTTGAAACAAAATGTGGATGTAGAAGCAGAGGTAATTAAGGTGGAAAAATATTTTAAGTAAAAACAAATGTCCTAGAAATGGTACTTCTATATTATAAGGTAGATTGTTGTTTTTTATTTATTTATTTTGGATTGTTTTTATTGAAATTTAACTTCAAGGAAGGCTTTTATGATTGAGAAGAAAAATTTGACAAAGACAGCCTGAAGCATTCCTTGTTTTCTGTTGATCCCTCAATATTGTAGGCATAGCCCTAAGTGGAGAGAGGAATTGAGGTTTCCTTTACTCTGAGAGGACCTTTGATCATGTGGGTCAAGATTTTTCCTGATCTGTGACCCTCAGAGGCCTTTCTCTGTTTTTCAGTTTTTCTCATATGGTAACCAGTAAATTAGAATTTGTTTTGTCTTTATTGTTTCTTGATCTTAATGTGGAGCTCTGAAAAGTTTAGTGCATGGTTATATATGTGTGTATATATACACTTAATTTAGAGTATATTGTTGTAAAAGGGAAATATTTTTTATTTTCATTGGAATTTCAGTTGAAAACTCTTGTGTTTTATATGAAGGATAGTTTCTTTTTGTGTAGTTAACTATAACCTCATAGCTTAAAAATATATTAAAATCATACTTATTTTAGTCAACTACAAAATTATTTAGAGATAAGTCAAATTCTTTCAGATTTAGGCTAGACGGAATATTGCAGTTTTGTCCAGATGACACATATTTGAGGAAGCTTGAGAAGGACTTGAATTTCTGATGGCTAAATTGGTAGACTAGCCTGATTTTACTGATTTAAAAAGTTTAGACACATATTTGATAGTCTTTTATTTATTTTGCTTTTTTCTCTTACTGTACATATTTTGAGGAGTTGCAGAGCTTCTAAAGAGCCATTGGTGTAGATGTAAATGGTCATCTTTGATGCTGAAATTTTGTGTTGCCCAGAAAAAGTTTGAATTCAAATTAGCATATTGGATGTCTATAAACATCTAATATACAGTATAGTTTAATTATTGTTTAATTCTACATAATCTAATATACAATTATAATTTAATTAAAACATCTAATATATACAATTTAACTATCAGAGTTTTATTACTGTGATGTTTTTATGAATGAGATTATATGATTTGATTGTGCTTTCACAGCAGTAATTTTTCAGTCATGTGTTTCTTGATTGTGAATTTAGGAACCCAGCATCTGTTAAAAGGTTTTTTTGGTATCAAGAAACACTGACTTAATTTAAATTTAGTATTTTCTAAGTGGAAGGCCATTACTTTTGTTATTGTTTTGGTCTGGTATGGGGAAATGGAGTGAAATTCTGAGTTGAATACCCCAGTTTTCATTTAATGAATCCACAAACTGTAATAGCAACAACTACTTAAACACCACATCCTTTCTAATCATAACTAACCAGGCAAGAGGCTGAAAACCAAATTGCTTTTTGCCTAATTTAACAAAAAGTATACTTTCTGATTCAGAATTTAATCACTAAACCTCACAACATGGGACTATCTGTTTATTTGTGCTTCTAAAGACTTCTTGTTCACATGAGAAGCTTACACAGTGGAGTGCAGCTGTGGGGGTGGGAACGAAGGTGGACATTTGGAAATGTCTGGAGACATTTTTAATTGTCAGAGCTGGTGGGGCGTTGGGGAAGCACTACTGACATCTAGTGGATAGAACCTAAGGATGCTACTAAACATCCTATGGTGCCATCTCAGCTCCCACAACAAAGAATTACCTGTCCCACAATGTAAAGTAGTGCTGAAGTTGAGAAACCCTTCAGTTTCTTTTGGAGAAAAAAATTTTACAAATGTACTTAAATTTGTGATTCATCATCTGCCAGTTTGTTTATAAAGTGATTTGTCATTAAATTCTTACTACTTTAATGTATATTTATAAAAGTAGGATAGTATAATGAATCCAGTGTACTCATCACTCTGCTTCAGTTATTTTTCATGGCCAATTTTGTCTTATTTGTACTCACTTACCTCCTACTCTTTTTACTGAACTATACTGAAGCATATACAGCTATATTATTTCATGTGTAAATATTTTAGTATGTATCCTAAAAGATAAGTGCTTTTTTAAAAAATTCCATCACATCTTTAATGAACCTAAAATCAATAATAATTAAGTGTTTTAAAAAAATCAAATTTTATTAGAAGTTTTAAGGTTAGCGAAAGAATAGAGAATAATATGTTTTGTTCTCTAGTTATCTCATTCTGTAACCTTTCATTTTTTTTTTTTTAATTAGTAAGTGAGCTCAAAGATAGTATAATCAAGGGTTGCCAACTATAGCCTGCAGCCGAAATCCAGTCCTTCCTTTGTATTGTTAAGTATTATTGGACTACAGCACACCCGTTCATTTTATTTATTGTGTATAGCTGCAGAGCTGGATAGCTGTATAAGTGTGACAAAGGCTGTATGGTCTATAAAACCTAAAATATTTACTTTCTGGCCCTTCATAGAAAAGTTTGCTGACCCCTGGTATGACTATTGTAGACTTCCAGTTGAGTTAAGCTGTTATCAGACTAAGTTATTAGGTGTACATTGTATCATTTGAGTATGTGATAAGATTATATTTTTTTCCTATTTCTTTCTCTTAGGGAAAATTCAGCTATTTTGGAAAGTTGTTGTTGTCTCCATGTATGACCTACTGAGTACAGTAGGAGTACATTCTGTTCCTCCTTAATGTATAGGTAAAGCCACAAGGACTGTGAGATCTTAGGTATGTTGATATCAATGAGCTAATTTTAGATCCACCAGGGACTCAGTATTTTTTTTCCCTACTGATTCAGTATAATAGTGAAGGTATAGAGGATTGAACAGAACACCGTTTTTTAAAAATAAGTGCTTTTTTAAAAAATTCCATCACATCTTTAATGAACCTAAAATCAATAATAATTAAGTGTTTTAAAAAAATCAAATTTTATTAGAAGTTTTAAGGTTAGCGAAAGAATAGAGAATAATATGTTTTGTTCTCTAGTTATCTCATTCTGTAACCTTTCATTTTTTTTTTTTTAATTAGTAAGTGAGCTCAAAGATAGTATAATCAAGGGTTGCCAACTATAGCCTGCAGCCGAAATCCAGTCCTTCCTTTGTATTGTTAAGTATTATTGGACTACAGCACACCCGTTCATTTTATTTATTGTGTATAGCTGCAGAGCTGGATAGCTGTATAAGTGTGACAAAGGCTGTATGGTCTATAAAACCTAAAATATTTACTTTCTGGCCCTTCATAGAAAAGTTTGCTGACCCCTGGTATGACTATTGTAGACTTCCAGTTGAGTTAAGCTGTTATCAGACTAAGTTATTAGGTGTACATTGTATCATTTGAGTATGTGATAAGATTATATTTTTTTCCTATTTCTTTCTCTTAGGGAAAATTCAGCTATTTTGGAAAGTTGTTGTTGTCTCCATGTATGACCTACTGAGTACAGTAGGAGTACATTCTGTTCCTCCTTAATGTATAGGTAAAGCCACAAGGACTGTGAGATCTTAGGTATGTTGATATCAATGAGCTAATTTTAGATCCACCAGGGACTCAGTATTTTTTTTCCCTACTGATTCAGTATAATAGTGAAGGTATAGAGGATTGAACAGAACACCGTTTTTTAAAAATGTGTCCTTTCACAATAAGTTTTAAAATACAATACAGATATATACTGAAGTTATCAAGAAACATGGGGTGGTGTTATCATTTAAGGTTAATGAAAACTTTTGAATGAAGAGGATTAATAGTAGGGCCATGTTTTAATGGAATTGTTGCTTTCTAAAATGATACTGGGCAAAATGGCATAAGCTTCAGTTTCCTCATCTTTGTTAATAACTTGAAAGGGTTGGTGTATGGATTAAGGGAAATAATTAAGGTACTATTTATAGCATACAATACTATGGGAATTTAAGGTTTATTATTATTATTATTATCATTACCTCTGTGTTTCTTTCCATCTGGTGTTAGTATAGTTTCTCAAGAAAAAGATAAAAGATGCTAATTTTGTTTGATTCTGCTTATTTAGTTAAAACTGTAGAAACATTTTATATAATTGAAAAACAGAGGCAAAGGGGCAGGGTAAGTGGACAACAAGACTAGTCAGTTTAAGGAAATTCTTAAAAGGATTAAGAATATTAAAAGGAAAGGATTCAAAAGATTATACACTGTGACCAAGTAGGATTTATTCCTGGAGTATAAGGAGAGTTCAGCATACAAATATCGATCAGTGTAATATACTGCATTATTAGAATGAAGGGGAAAAAAACAATGACCACCTTAATTGATGTAGAAAAGATTTGATAAAATTCCATACCCTTTTGTGATAAAAACACTCAGAAAACTAGGAATAGAGAGAGATTTCTTCAGCATAGTAAAAGCCATATATGAAAACCCATAGAGAACATTATACTCAGTAATAAAAGACTAAATCTTCTCCTCTAGGATCAGGAACAAGGCAAGGATTCTCACTCTTCTTCTCTTACTCAGCATAGTACAGTGCAAGTCCTAGCCAGAGGAGTTAGGAAAGGAAAAGAAATAAAAGGCATCAACATTGAAAAGGAAGAAGTAAAATTATCAATTTGCAGATTATATGATAGAAAAACCTAAACCTTAGATTATAAAGGTTATAAAACCTCCTTATATGTAGAAAAACCTAAAGATTTCACAAGAAAGCCTTTTAGAACTAATTAAGGAATTCAACCAAGAATAAGTATGCAAAGTCAGTACACAAAAGTCAGCTGCGTTTCTGTATACTAACAGTCAACAATCTGAAGAGGATATTAAGAAAACAACTCCATTTACAATAGCATCAGAAATAGGAAAATGCTTAGGAATTAATTTAACCAGGGAGGTGAAAGATTTGTACAATGAAACCTAGAAAACAATGCTGAAAAAAATGAAAGACCTAAGTAAATAGAAACATACCCCCTTGTTCATAGATTATAAGAATTAATATTACTATGATGTCAGTACTATCCAATGTGATCTGCAGTTTCAGTGCAAACCTTATCGAAATCCCAGCGGTGTTTTTTACAGAA